ACAAGGTGAAAACAGCCTGGAGACTAGCTGTGCACAATGTGGTTGAGCTGAACACGACCAGAGGGCACCTGCAAATGGTTCCGAGGGCCAGATCAACACAAAAAGAGCCCCCCAGGCACTCCGTGAGCCTCATCCCAGGGTTAAGTTTCTCCTTCCTATGAAATGTACCCCCTAACCTGGCCTTCCTCAAGTTTCTTTATAATTTTATCACCAAGGGCCTATAACCGACACATCACAGTGTTGCTGAGGACGTTTCTGTGTATTTTTAAGTCTCTCCAGCCCTTTGCTTTCTCTAGTGTGTGGTGACCTCTGTGTTCCCCACATGTGGGGTGCAGGCCCGCGAGTTCTTGGTCCATGCTATTTCTCCACTTGGCAAGGAGGACCCCGAGACTCAATCAGATACACACTGACCCCTCTGGCAGGACTGGAGTGGCGGGCACAGCTCTCTCTTGTGAGGCCAGCAGCGGAAGGTGCTCTCTGCTCAGGCCTGTTAACTCACTGGGTTACCAGATGACAGTGTTTCAACTATAACATATGCTTCCATTTATTAACTGAACTAATTAAATAAAGAGACACATTCCCTCACCAAAAGTGAAAGGTGGATGAGCCTCCCTCGTGGCGCAGGGGTTAACGTCTCAGCTATCAAGCTGTCCGCAGCCACTGCAGCCTGAGTTCAACCGCCCGGCCAGGGAGCTGACCCACAGGGCGCAGCTGACCCACAGGGCACAGAAGACCTCCCCTGTCTCCCCGCTGCTCCCCTCAGTAGTGGACTTCAGTAGCTCCGCCTGTTCTGCTCCCCACTCTGTCTCTGGGGAATCCTCTCACCACCACTCCCACCTCTGGCCTGCACCCCAGTTCTTGTATGCATAAGTAAATCTCTTTTTAAAAAAGTAAAAGGCAGAACACATGGTGAATATTTTGCCCTTCTATTTTCAGTTTTTAAGACAATAAACTTCCTGTCAACATCCACCAGTGAGCCCCGGATTGACAGTCTAGATCATGGGCACAGATACCCCTTCTAATGGACGTCCTGTCCTCTGACAGCAGGTGCTGCGGCCGGTGGGCTCCCGGGCTCTCTGTGAAGACCCTGGAGAGGCTTGTCCACTCCCTCGCCAGTAGTGGGGAGAGGAGCCAGGCTCGCCTTGAACATCTGCTGTCCCAGACTTGCAATCTGTCTGTTCTCTGGAAGCCCTGGCTTCTTTTAATAATTGCTGATATTTCAAGACCACGATCTGGAATCCATTTGGTATTTCCAATTTAAAGTCTTCTCCCTGACTTAACCTCTTCTGTATTACATCTGGATCTCTATTCTTCCCTGTCAAAACTCCTGGCCTCACGGACACAAGATATGCTAGGACTGCTGTACCCCGTAACTCCTCATTTACTTAACCTCAGAATGGCAACACTAGTGCTACCACCGCCAGAATTATCACTGAGAAAAGTAACGAAGCTTTTGTATATGTTCGCTGCTGCGCCTCCATCCAGAAGGCCTTTGCGGCCATCCCCTTGCCATGTACCTCCACACACCACGCTCGCCGGCCTCCCACCTCTGGCAGGGATGGGCTGGCCCGCTCCGCCAGGCTCCCAGGCTCCTGCTAACCACGCCCTTTCCCTGGAGCCTGTTCGCCAGTGGAGTCCTCGTTTCTGAGATTTTTCTGCTTCCTACTGATGTTGCTCATGCCTTGCAGTGTGAGCTCATTTTAAAATGGAGAACTACAGTTCTCGACTTTCTGACATGCTTTCATCGTCTCCAGGGCGTCTCTAACCTACACTTATAACTTAGGGACACGTGACATCAGTAACTTCCCGTCACTGGTTTTATGTGAAACTGGTTTTCCCGAACACTGGGAGGCCAAGTGCTCAGAGCAGGCTTCCAGCTACAGCGCTCCTTCGTGCCGGTCCCCCGCCGCACCCCGGGACAGAGGTGCTGAGACGCCAACGCCTGCATAAACCTGGACGGAGACCGACTTTCCTTAGCTGCGTCGCTCCCTACCCCGATCATCCTGAGCCCACCTGCCCATCCTGAGCCCCTGGGAGGGGCACGTCCTGGGCTGAGTCTGGCTGGTGGGGTTCAGGAGGTTCCTGGGCTGGTCACAGGTCTCTCCACTCAAGCACAGTTTGCGGGGGAAGGGGGTAGGGGGGGTCACAGTCCTTCCAGTTCAACTGCTGTTGTCACCCTGAGCTGCTGACCGCCAGGGACACCGGCTGGCGACTGCGAAGCCCCTACCCCCAACTCTGCCACCTGCCCCACGCTCACCCCCGTGTTCTCTGCACACGCACGCACTCTGCGGGTCCTGTTGCGGTCGGTGGGGTCTCCCCAGCCTCAGGCACTATGGGTTTGAAGAGACAACCTGCAGTCTGGCCTTACTGCAAAGATCGTCACAGATCCCAGGGTTTGCATCTAGTTGTTGTGGGTGTTTTGGTTCAGAGGGAGCAAACGATTATGCTGCTGCCACCGCTGTCTTCGCAGAGCATTTAGGTGCTGTTTTTGTGGCCTTGTGTCTCTGTCTAATTTCTTTCACAGCACTGAGCACCACCTAAGATACTAGGTGGTCCGGTTCAGCTCCAGCATCTGCAGCTCAGCGTCCCCAGAGACCAGTGCTGCCAGGAGACCTGGCTTCACATAGAAGCTAAAGACACGCCGGCTCCGGCGGGGCAGCCAAACGCCAGCACCGACCCCCGGCTCTGGCCACCCTCCCCGCAGCCCTCCCAGCCTCCGAAAACTGGCCTGGGCCACTGAGCAACACTCAGGGGCTGCGGCCAGGAGAGCCGGCTCCAGCCTCACCAGGGAGTCCTGCCAGACAGCAGTGCCCCCGGGGCAGCCACCCACAGCCCCACACGAACTGCCAAGGGCCTTCCTAAGCTCATTATCTCTTCATTCCCTTCAAGAAGCCGGGCAGCCACTCTTAAAAATGCAGTAAGCAGGGGCCTTGCTGGTGACACAGGGGTTAGAGCACAGCCACTGCAGCACGAGCTTGACCCCCGGCCAGGGAGCTGACCCACAGGGCGCAGCAGACCTCTCCTGTCTCCCCGCTGCTCCCCTCAGCAGTGCATTTCAGTGGATCTGCCTGTTCTGCTCCCCACTCTGTATCTGGTGAATCCTCTCACTCGCCCCACACCGCTGGCCTGTACCCCAGTTCTTGTGTGCCTTTGAGACCACCAGGCGACACGGCCCACGAAGTTCCCGGTGGAGAAGCAGCCCAGCCCACGGCCCCCACGGCAGCTCCGGCCACAGGCAGCCCCGCGCTGGAGCCCAGGAGCTGTGAGCTTTGAAGACATGCTACGAGAAAAGGGTTCGAGGTGCCTCCATGACTCTGTTGCTTCCATGTTGAATTGATAATATTTTGGGTATGCTAAACTAAGTATTTTATTAAAAGTAATTTCACCTCTTTATTTTTTGAATGTGGCTACCAGAGACGTCAGACGGCAGATGAGGCTCGGCTCTGCCGCTACTGGCACGCTCTGGTCTCGGGCGCCGCGACCCGCTCTGGACCCTGAGGGGTGACTTTCCTCGCTGACTGCTGACCTGCTCATCTGCAAACTGAAAATTACACCTAACTTCTGCGGCTGTTGTGTAAAGTGAACTGACGATGCAAGTGAGACATTTAGCATAAGGCCCAGGCCTAGCAGGAGTTTTCAAACAGGTATCGCCAGCCTCCGACATTAGGTGCGTCATCAGGAGGCAGAGGCTTCACACCTGGCTCTGCCCACACCTGGCTAGATGATCCAGGGTAAAAAAAAAAAAAAAAAAAAAACTTTCTTAGAAAAGCAGGAGCTAGTCCTCTGTGTCATCAGGTTGTCCTGAGGGCTGAATTCTCTCTGCCACCACCGTGTCTTTACTGGCCCTGACCACGAGCAAGGCACCTTCCGGCCCTGGGGAAGCGCAATGAGCAAGTCGGCGGCTCTACTGGGGGGTTTTCATTCCAGGGGGATGTGAAGAAAACAGGGCAGGACGGGGAGCGAGAGCCGTGGGGCCCCAGGTAGGCCCGGCGTCCTCTGCAGGGGCTGGCCGCTGAGCAGCCTCGGAACAGACAAGGGAGCCGCGCCATGGGGCTGCAGAGCAGGCGCAGCCCCGAGGCAGGGGAGCCCAGGTGGGTCTGGAGGAGGAGGAGGCAGTGCACGCCGGGGAGCGGGAGGTAAGGAGGAGGGTGCTGGCCAGGCCCCGGGGAACTTCTCTGGCGGAATCTGGGAATCTCACTCTAGTGTGACTGAGCCGCCAGAGCTTCACCAATTCTGACAGAACTCCGCAGCCTGCACCGAGGAGAGGCAGGAACCAGTGGCAGGGAGTGGGGCCACAGCAAGGAGCAGGGCCGGCCAAGGCGAGGCAGGACATCTGCCTGGTCTGCAGGGACAGCGTGGACAGTCTTGGAGTTAGGCTCAAGGTCTCCCCGGAGCCAATGTCTCCTCACCCCCCACCCCCACTGGGCCCCCAGCTGCAAAGAGGAAGAAACCAAGTTATGGCAAAACCAGGAGCCAACTCGGCCACACCCAGGAACGGCCCCTCCTTTGGGCCAGCAGATCCACCCGGGGGAGGAGAAACAATCTTTAAACAGTTATCATCACAAAAACCATCCAAGTAATAGTACCACGCAAAAATGTTAGGAGGAGAACAATTAAATCCCAATTATTGATCCCTCGAAGCTCACAGCCAGGAGCTGCAGGAAGTGATGTCTGGCTGTGCGGGCAGGCAGGTCCCACTAGGTAAGCACCGCGTCTGGGCCCTCCCTCACGACGGCCGCAGGAGCCAGCGTGCTGCCGACGCTGCAGATGGCGCCTTGTCTGGAAACCGGGCCGCGGCCCACTCCCTGCGGCCATTCCTCACGTGCGCTGCGCAGCTTCCCAGTGGCCGAGCTCTGGACTGACCGCCGGCCGCAGCTCACAGGACACTGTGGTCAGCAGTGCCCAGCTGCGGGGCAGGGAGCTGTCCGGGCCTGAGCAGAAACCCCCGGCTCAGCAACTGCCGCGCCGCGCTGCCCGGCCGCCCGCCGGCCGCTACTTACAGCAAACTCCTCGGGAGTCACTTTCAGGACGTCGAAGACGACAGCGTCGTAGCTCTTGCTGGCATAGTCGCAGCTCTGGCCCTCCAGAGAGTCTGAGCTGCTGCTGCCCTGTGGGCGAGAGGGAGGGGGCCTGAGCAGCGGCTGGCCGAGTGGCCGCCCGCGGGGGGACGCAGACCGCTCAGCTGGGAAGGTGAGAGCAGAGGAGGGCAGCAGAGTTCTGGGCCCACCTGGGCCCAGAACCCGGATCTGCATCACTGGGTCCCAGCTGCGTGTGGGAGAGGGGTGCTGGGGGCGGGGCGGTGGCAGAGGGAAGACACCGCGCTCTTCCTGCCGCCAGGAGGGGCCTTCGCGGCCCGGCGGCCCGAGGAGGGCGTCCGTTCTGCCTTTCAAGCATTACCTGGTTTCACCTTTCCCCCCTCTCTACTTGAAGTCACTGCAGGAAATTATTACCCAAAATGTTAACCTGGCTCTTAGGACCTATTTCATGTACGGGCCACTTGGAACGCAAAGCCTGCTGGTTGATGAGGTGAGAGGTAACCGGCTGGCTGTGGAGACTGGCATCGCAGCTATATTTAGCAGGGTCCTTGTTAGGAAGAACCGCACGAGCCCTGCATGGAAGGCGAGGGTCTCCCGTAAAAACACGAGGAAAACTCCCCAAATGTGGCCGGTTGAGAGAAACCCAACACTGTGGGGGCCCCAGAGGGCTGAACATACCTTCTGTTCAATTTTGTTTAATTTCAGCAAATTCTACTTCAGGGACCCAATCGAGATTACCACCCAAAAAGTGTACCCGGTTCATAAATGGTTTTATTCGTCTCAACCCATGAAGAGGGATTTTGTGGTTTCCATCAACCGCAACATCTTGGACCAGGATTTAGAGAATATGCTTTTATTAATTCCTCTTTATTTCACTCTTTCCAAAATGGCTATATCTGGAAAAACTTTGCAATCTTACTGGAAACTGAGTGTTTTTAGTCCAGTGAGGGAAACCAACAGTCAACAACTGAGAATATGAGGTTTAAAGGAGGAGTGAAAGCTGCAGCCTGCAGACTTCAATGGGCCTGTGTCATCTGCAGCCTCACAAACAGCCGACTGTGCCCAGCCCGGCCGCGTCAGCCGCCCGCCTCAGCGCGCCGGCGCAGCTGCACGTGCCGCTCGCCGCGGGGTGACGTCAGCTCGCCGCGGCCTGTCGCCTGTGAAGTGGCTGAGCGCGCGTGTGGTGGCCCACGGCGCCCTCTCCCAGGGTGCTGCCCCTCGGCGCCTGCAGGGGGCCTGGCCTGGCGGGCAGGAGACCGTGGGCCGCTCTCCCCAGAAGACTCACGTGACAAGCCCGGTCCCCAACGCTCCGCAGCGGGCCATCCCCTGCCGCTCGGCCTCAGGCGCGCCCCGGGCAGGCGCCCGCCCTGACCCCGCACCTCCACGTGGCTGAGGCAGAGGGCAGGGCCGCCTCCCCGGGCGTGCGGCGGGCTCGCCTAGGTGCCCGCCCATGGGCCTGGGGCTGGCTGTGACCCCCCACCCTTGTCTCCTGGTCTGTCTGCTGGGGGAAGCCGCAGGAGACCCCTGGTGGGGTGACTGCAAGACTGCGAGAGGCTGCGCGCATGGTGCACAGCAAGCAGCCGAGTCGGACAGCAGCGTACAAACGTTTCACTAACAAATACTGATTAGTACTCACGTGTTCTGGGCATGCGCAGATGAGAGCAGGCCCACGTGGGCACGTACATCACACCCTTGCACACATACACACAGAAAGAGACCAGAAAAGGAAGTCTTCCTAGACAGCGTGAATTTTATCTGGAGACCCAAGCCTGCCTCCCCGAGAGCCCACTCTGGGTCCAGGTTGGATGGGACATTCTGGCAACATGCCCCACTGCCTCTGCCCCGAGTGCATGCACACGCATGAGGGGCCGGATGCGCCGGAAGGTGCCGGATACACTGATCAGAGGTGATGTGGCTGATGAGTCGACTGTACCGAAACCTCTACGGTGGCCTCGGGGGTGCTCAGTGGCACACGCGCAAGGGCGCTTTCAGGACCAGAAATCAAAGGGAGGAATTTTTATCACGCTTTAAAGGTCCATACGAAGTCAGTCCTGTGAATTTCCAGCTGGTCCCTCAGAAGTCCCGCTCCGGGCCTCGTGCGCCCAGGGCGCTGAGCACCGCCTTGCCAACTCACACCGGAGCCAAGCTGGACGCGTCCAGCAAGGTGGCACCTTGGCCTCGGATGACATGCACCCCCCCACCACGCGTGGAAAGCAAACTCCCAAACCCCAGGGCAGGGCCTGGCCAGCCACTCTCAGACCACCAGTCCTTGCAGCCATTTCCTACTGAGCAAGGTAAATAAGAGCGCGGGGCCAGCTGGAATCACTTCTGTCTGACTTCACTCTGGAATGTGTGACTTATTTATAATCAGCAACAGTTTTTCTTGGGAAAGGTCTGATCCCTTCTTGCCACCAAAACGGAATGTGGCACTTGCTATGACTGGACCGGGCAGGGCAGGTATTTGTGTTTCTTTGAAGAGAGCGACTTCAGACGCACGCTGCTCTGCAGGGCTGACGGCCTCCCAAATCTCACGCCTGGCGTGGCCGGGGGCCCTGCGAGAGCTAAGAATGGCGGCATTCACGGAGGCCTGTAAATAAATAAATAAATAATTCACAGCGGGGGCCCTGCGAGAGCTAAGAATGGCGGCATTCACGGAGGCCTGGAGCCCTGTTCTGCACCAGCCGGCGGGCTGGGGTCAGCTGGAAGGAGCCCACCCCCTGCCCACGGTCCGCCCCGCAGCAGCCTCCGTACCTGTGGAGTGGCAGAGGTCACCAGCACGCTAGCCATCAGGCCATTCCTCTTGTACATAGTCTCCGGGCTGCAGGGAGCTTCAGGACGGCCTCTGTCGGTGGCATTACCTGTCTGGAGAAGACCTGCAAGGCAAAGGGGCTCGTGAACACCTGCCTTCAAAGTCTACGTGATCCCACCCCTGGGAGAAAGCTGCACTGGGTAGGGGACCTTCAAAGATCGCAGCTCGGTGGCTTCCTGGCGAAATGCAGCCCACAGGTCTGCGGGCTTCAAGGAAAATCGGAGTGGGCAGGTCAAGACCCCTGTCACGGCAGGCCAGAGGGGTGCGCTGGACACGCAGCTGTACCCTGGTGTCCTGGGAGAGGCAGGCCCGCCAGTCCCGAGGGCCATGGTCACACAGATCCCAAAGGCAGCCCACACGGTCAACTAGACATCTGGCGAGCGAAGACACCGAGGGGCTACTAAGAGGAGGGCCACCGGGGCCCACCTAAGCCACGGCGACAACCCCTCCACCCCCAGGGAGGTCCAGGTAAGGGGGGGGCAGCGCCAAGTGCCACAGCCACATGGGCAGTGAGACCTTCACACGACGCTGGCCGGAGGTAAAAGGCACAGCCACTTCGAAAAATAATTTGGCGGTTTCTAGAAAGTCAGCGCTAGCTCCCCCAGTGACCCAGGATTTCTTCCCCCAGGTATCTGTCTAGACAAAAAGAAAGCAAGCGTCTGCGCAGACACAGACGGGGCGACCAGGCGCCACCCCTCTCGTCATCACAGCCCACGGGGGCCCACCGGACGCCCTTCCCGGGCCGTGCCCGGACGACCGACGCACAGCCGCCGAGATGGCGGCTCTCAAGAGCCCCGGGGAGAAAGGTGAGGCGCGCCTGGGCAGCCCAGGCGAGTCCCTGGCCACAGTGGCTGCTGTTCTGCCCACTGCGCCTAATCTCTTTTCCTAAAACAGACCAAAAATCACGTGTTAAAGAACAGCGCGGGGCTTTGTGTGACCACAGGCCTTCACGGCTGGAAGGGGACTCCCACCGGGGCACCAGGCCCGGGCGCAGACAGCCCAGGCTCCAAGTGCGGGCTCCTCTGCAGGAGACCCCACCTCAGGCCCCAGCCCGCCAGAGGACAATGCTTGTCACCCACCAGGCTTCCTCTGGGCGCCCGAACTGGAAAGAAAGACGGGGCTCTTGCTTGCCATCCGATTCTTGCCTAATTTATGGGCAGCAACTCTCAGACAAGTGCTATTTCACATGTGAAGAAATAATAGGCCCAACCAGAACGAAACATCCTTTCCCGGGGCCCACACAGCCACCTTCACCTCGAGGCCTGGCCACGCCCTCACCCACAGCAGGGGCCAGACTCCCAAGAAGGGGTGAGCCCAGCCCAGCCCACAGGCCCTCTGAGCCCCCTTACAGAGATGTTTTAAACACACAGTTGCATGGGAAGTCACACAGAATTACCCAAGAAACCAGTTATATTAAAGTGCAGTTCAATTATTTTTTAAGTAATTTGTAATCTGATATATGTATTTCTTCATGTAAGGGTATACATGTATTTCTTCATGATGCCAATAAATAACAAGGTCTGTTACTAGGCCTCATAGGTTTCAAAGCAGTTAGGAGCAGCAACGTCCCGAGATGCCCACAACTGTTATGAGTTGTGAAAGAATCTGTAACTGCTATTGAGGCCAAGTCCCTGGCACTGTCACTGCTGCTGTGATTCGTGTCGGGTCAGCCACGGAGAGGAGCTAGATTTCCTTTAGCAGCTAATGCAGATAGGTATCTCATTTCTCCCCATCCAAATTCAGGTCTGCCTGGCCCAGGACCTGCTGCGGGTGCTGTGGGCTGGAAGCGAGCAGGCGCAGAGCGGAACCTGCCTCCAGGGCCGGGCTCAGAAATACCCGCGAACAAGGAAGAGAACCTCAGATATCGAGAAGACGAAATTTGCCAGAGTGGTCGAGAAAGGCCCTGCTGGGGAAGCAAAATTTGAGCTAAAACCCCAGAAAGGAGTCCGGCATAAAAACCAGCCAGAGTGAGCCTTCCTGGTGGCCCAGCGGGTTACAGCGCAGCACTGTGAGGCTGCCCCCAGCCACTGGGGCACGAGTTCGATCCCCGGCCAGGGAGCTGCGCCACAGGGTGCAGCAGACCTCTCCTGTCTCCCACGGCTCCCCTCAGCAGTGTGTTTCAGTGGGTCCACCTGTTCTGCTCCCCACTCTGTCTCTGGGGAATCCTCTCACCCCTGTATTTCTGGCCTGTACCCCAGCTCTTGCATGCATAAACTAAAAAAACAAACAAACAAACAAACAAAAAAGCCAGCCAGAGTGCCCCTGCAGAGGAAACGGCAAGGGCAAGGCCCTGAGACGCGCACACTCGGCAGCTCCTGATGGAGGCAGCAGCCTGCAGCTTAACCGGCCAGGACAGTGGACAGGCCGGCTTGGGCCAGAGCACGAGGGCGTGGGGAGTGTGGGTTTCAACGGAAGTGCCCTGGGAACCCTCCATGCAGAAGGTGTTCGGAGGGACACTGACCCTGTAGTGTGCAGTCACGCTGGCCACCGTGAGGTCTGGAGCAGCAACACCAGCTCGGGGTGAGCGAAGGCGGCAGCGGCCACGCGACGGTGGACTGGGAGGGGCCAGAGGTGCAACAGACAAGACTTGTGGATGGGACACCCGGCAAGGGGAGCGGGCCGGGCCACTGCTCAGTCGCGGCTGCTCTGACGGGACAGACACGGCCTCACAGCCACGTGCTGCTACTGAGGTGGCCCCGCCACTGCACTGCGGGCTCCAGCTGCAGGGCCCTGGGGCCCCCGTAGTGGGGGCAGGACGCAGGTAGCAGGTGCTCTCGGGAGATCGCTGTACTTAAGCACCAACAAAGGGGAACATCTCTCGGGGCCAAAGAAGACAGTGCTGAGGAGAGGCGCAGAGCTGGGCCTTAAAGAACGAGGGGTGGGACCCCGGGCAAGGGCGTTCCAAGCACACGCGGGTGGGAGGCCAGACCGGTGCGCATGCCAGCATCTCACCCCACCCTGGGCCTGAGCCCCTCTGAGGACACTGGGGAAACAGTGGCCAGCAAGCCCGGCCAGCTCGCCGCGGCACTCGTCACAGCAAAGCCACCTGCCTGCTGGCCGCCCCACCCGTCAGCCACCCGGAGAGCCCTTCCCAAGCCCCGCCCCCCAGGCGTCGAGCCAGGCCACAGGTGCTCAAGTTGCTCAGCAGACAACCCCACCATCCTCAGACAGCCAAGTGGACGCTCCATTTCTGGCTCTCACTAAGGATGTATATGCTTTCATTTTAAAAATTCACAGAGGGGCCCTCCCTTATGGCTCAGCACTGCAAGCTGGCCACAGCCTCTTCAATGCAAGTTCGATCCCCGGCCCAGGAGGTGACCCACGTGGCAGACCTCTCCTGACCTGCCCACTGCTCCCCTCAGCAGTGTACTTTGTCGATCTGCCTGCACTGCTCCCCCCCCCACTCTGTCTCTGGTGAAGCCTCTCGCCGCCCCTGAGCCTCTGGCCTGTACCCCAGTTCTGTATGCATAAATAAATAAATAATTCACAGAGGACACTGAGGCTCAGAACTAAATTATACTGTCGGGGTGACACATTTATATGTATCTGCCCTGGCACACCCCCATCCAGGCGGGGAAGGTGCCCTTCCATCCAAGAGGGAAGGGCACCAGCTGTCTGAGTCTGGCCACGTCGATCTACACCCCCACGCCCTATCTTTCCAGTCACCCTCTGCCTCTCCCCCCATACACACACACACACACGCTCAGGCTGCCTCCTTGGAAACCAAAAACACTGCCAGGGAAAAGGCAATTCTCATGATGTAATTTCATAAGAACGTGGCAGCCGTATCAGAACCACAGAACCACCACGTCTCATTTCGTGGAACAGGGTCTGGTCTGAGGTGGGGGGCTCCTGAAGAAGGGCAGGGAACCCCACACGCGACGCTGGTTTCCTTCCAAGTGGCCAGACCGCTTCCGGCTCCAGGTTCAGGAAATAAGACACAGCCCGAGGCAGACCCTCCCGAGGAGACAGAACAGCGGCCGCCTGAGCTCCCAGAGCTTGTTTCAAAGAAAATACACACATGCAGGAATGTTCAATTACAGGGGAGAGATTTCTTCCAAGTGTCTCAGACAGGCAGGGAAACGGCCCCGAGCCAGGCCCAGGCCAGGAGCAGCCGTCCTGCGAGCCCGGCCGGGGGCTTAGGTGTCTTCAACGGAAGCGCTGATGAGGTGAGCAGGGGCGAAGGGGGTCTCCAGCTCCCCCCCCAGGGTCTGGCCGCTTCAGGAGCAGTGGGTCACCACACAGGTGCACACTCACCCACGCGTGCACACGCACAGCACACTCACCGCGTGCACACTTCCGACGTGCACACGCTCACAATGCGCACACTCACTGACACGTGCTCGTTCAGAACCACAGCCGCAGCCTGCTGGGTCCTGGGCCCGCGAAAGGCTTCCCCAGAGCAGCTGTCACCCTGGGGCTCGAGAGAGGCCCTCCCTGTGCAGGCTGGCGGCGCTGTTATCTCCCCACCTCCTGCCCTCTCCCGCCCAGCCCAGCCTCTTTTCCTGGCTTGTAGCAGCCTCTGGCGGCCTTCAGGGAGGCCCAGGCCACGTCAGCACTTGTCAGCTTGAAACACCATCACGCACTACAGTGCCCCCCCACTTGATCCCTGCCAGATGTCCTACAGCCAGCATCTCCCCTCTCCCGGGGGAGAGAAGCCGGGAGCCCGACAGCTGGACAGGCACCGCAGCATGCAGGTGCCGAGAGCAGCTGGGGCTCCGTGGCGGGGAGCTTGCAGCAGCCGCGGGAAGGGGCCGAGTGTCCGCGGTTCCCCGCGACGAGGGGTGGCGGCTGTGGACGGAGCAGCCAGGACAGCGGGCCAGTAGGGCCTCTCCTTGGGTCAGAAGCACCTGTGTCGATGGAGCTGAGGCGGGCCAGGGCCAGGAGGCCCCCGGGGGCCTGGGGCAGGCTCTGGCTGGGCACCCCACCCACAGGCACGCCGACACCAGGGAGGCAGAAAGGAACCAGGCCCAGCCTCGTCCACAGAAACCGGAAGTCCAGCCCGGGGGCGAGGAATGGTTCCAAGTAGAAAGACTTCTGAATTACATATAAAGTAATACTTGT